ATAATTAGTTACCTACAAGGGAGCCCATATGACTGTCAGCTGATTTCTCAACAGAAATTTTGCAGGCCAGAAGGGAGTGGCAAATACTTAAAGTGATGAATAGCAACGAGTTATAGTCAAGATTAATCTACCCAGCAAAGCTAACATTTAGAATTAAAGATTAAATAAAAGTGTCCAAACCACAAGAAAAAGCTAAAGGAGTTCACTATCACCAAACTTGTATTACATAAAATGTTGAAGGGTATTCTTTAAGAAAAGGAAGAAAGAGGAGAAGGAAGGAAGGAAGGAAGGAAGGAAGGAAGGAAGGAAGGAAGGAAGGAAGGAAGGAAGGAAGGAGAACAACAAACGGCAGTAAATACAAATCTACCAACAACTGAATTGAAAAATCAAAATAGCTGAAACCGGTTTGGCTCAATGGATAGAGCGTCGGCTTGGGGACTGAAGGGTCCCGGGTTCGATTCCGGTCAAGGGCATGTACCTTGGTTGCGGGCATATCCCCAGTAGGGGGTGTGCAAGAGGCAGCTGATTGATGACTCTCATCAATGTTTCTAACTCTCTATCTCTCTCCCTTCCTCTCTGTAAAAAATCAATAAAATATATTTAAAAAGAAAGAAAAAGAAAAATCAAAATAAATGAACGAGGATTCTAATGAAAAAAATAAAACTAGTGAATAATATAGAATCAGAGGCATAGAAACATGGAATAGACTGATAAATCTCTTAGGAGGTATGGGAGGGTGGGAAGAGATTAGCCAAAGATCTTATATGCACACTAGAGACCCAGTGTACGAAATTTGTGCACAAATAGAGTCCCTAGGCCTGACCAGCAATTAGGAGGGGTGATGGAGGGCTCCTACTGGCACCTGGTGCAGCCTGCTCATCAGTCCCACCCCCCCACCACCACTGCAGTTGCCTCCCTCTGCGGGGTGACCAGCAGGGCAGTTAGAGGGCCCCCACTGGCACCTGTCTTGGCTGGCCTGGCGCTACCCACTCTCTGGCTCCGCCCACCACCACTACCACCACCAGTCACTTCCCTCTCTGGGGGGGACTGGCAGGGTGATTGGGGAGCCCCCATTGGCATCTGCCTTGGCCAGCCTGGCAGTGCCTGCTCACCAACCCTCCCTCCCACTGCTGCTGCCACTGCTGCCGGTTGCCTCCCTCTGTGGGGTGACCAGCGGGGCAATTGGGGGGCCCCCGCTGGCACTTGTCTTGACTGGCCAGGGTCTGCTGGCTGGGGGCAGCTCCTGCATTGAGCTCTGCCCCATGGTGGTTAGTACATTTCGTAGTGACCAGTTGTTCCACTGATTGTTCTGCCAGTCGGTCGATTTGCATATTAGGCTTTTATTATATAGGATATGCATTACCTACGGTCACAGACAATAGGTTGGTTAAAGGCCAGGGGTGAAGTGTGAACCGGGGGGAGGAAAGCAATGAGGGGTTGGGGGGAGCAGGTGGGAAGGAGGGCATCTGTAATACTCAACAAAAAAGATATTTTTTAAAAGAATAATTTCGTTCAATATTTGTGCACACTCAAATTGTTGACTGTTGCCAGTTTTGTACTGTAAACTTTATATTTTATGTGTCCCCATAAAAAAGTCTAGTGGCATGTTAGAATATACTTTGTTCAAAGCTTAGTCTGGCTTCATCCATTATTTCAAATCAGTTAAACCTGCAAAGCAGTTTAACGTAAATGGGTTATCAGCTGTTAAAGTGTATGTATGTTCAGGGGTTTTTTGGACACATTATATCTCTGCAGCTTCAACTTCCTCACCTTCATAAGTCATCCTGTCTTCAGTCTCCTGAAGCCTCCTCCTGGCAACTTCACACTGTTTCCCAGTTGTCTGGCCCTTTTCTTCACAAATAGCATCTAGCGTGCCAGGTCAGAAAGCCCCTGTGCATGGGTGCTCCATGACCCTCCGTGTTCTGATGTGCACAAAGAGTCCCGTCACTGGGACCAGTACAGAGCCCGCTTCAGTTAGTGCTTTCTTTCTTGCTGGGTGATCCTCCTCCTGTTGCTCTAGCTGTGCTTCTTTTCCTGGGGCCTTCTCTCTGCAGCATGTCTGCTGCACCACACCCCCACTGCTGGCACATCCCCAGGAGGGGATGTTTCTAACTCTATCCCTCTTTCTTTCTCTCTGTAAAAAATCAATAAAATATAAGGGGGAAAAAAGAGATAAGTAATTTAATGCAACATTGTTCTTAAAAGCAAAAACTACTTAACACAAATGTTTAGCTCTAGAGTTAGATAAAATATTATTGTATATTCCCATACTGAATATGTCGCAGTGAAAGTAAATGAACTGCATCTATATTCTTACGTTGGCTGCGGTGAGAATGGCACCAGGAGTTAGACCGGTGGTACTTGAGTTCTGACTAGGAAAAATGCAGAGCCATTTATTTAGAAAAATCACAGAGGTAGAAGAAATGGATCGTACAAGAAATGGGTTCAGGAAACAAGTTACAGAAGCAAAAGAAGGACCCTTGCAGCTTAGGAGAGTGGAGTAAGGAGAATGCCTGCAGGCTTGGAGAAAGGAGGGAAAAGGCAGTTAGGCAGAAGAGCACACTGGGTCCTTGGTCCTAAAAGCTTCTAAGGGGGTGGGGGGGTTTAGGGAAGGTCCCTGGGGACGATCTTAATAGAATATCATCAGCTCTCCAGGTGAACCTTTCAGGGCTGTGGTTTCTGCTGATTGGTCGGCACCAGGGCGTCATTAGTCACGCAGCCGAGGTCCGCTGTGGGTCACTTGTTTGGTTTTGCCACTTTTCTAGGACTGGAGCTGAAACACAAATGAGGCCTGGATGTTATCTGTAGGGAGGAAAGGTCACATGACCAGTGATAATGGAAGCTCAGGGGTCCAAGCGATTTCCTAGGGGAGGAAAGGTTACCCTGGGAATGAGGTCCCACCCTACACTTGTCGGTTGTTAAAACACCCTAGGCTTTTCCACTCTGGTGACCTATTCCTGGCCCATCGTCCTTCTCTACTCCTACCACACATAAACATGGATGGGCCTTAGAAATAGAATGTTGAATGAAAAATCAAGTTGCAGAAGACTAAAATACATTAGGATACAATTTTCTATATAATATTTAAAAGGAAGCCAAATAGCCCAGCTGGTGTTGCTCAGTGGTTGAGCGTCGACTCATGCGTCGACCCATGAACCAGGAGGACACAGGCCTGGGTTGCGGGCTCCATCCCCAGCTGAGGGCATGCAGGAGGCAGCTGATCAATGATTCTCTTTTATCCTTGATGTTTCTCTCTCTCTCTCCCTCACCTTTCTTTCTGAAATCAATAAAAACATTTTTTAAAGAAAAAAAAAGCCAAAAAAGGAGGACTTATGTAATAATCTTCAACAATAAAGATTAAAATAAATATTTTTAAAAAGAAGCCAATACTACATGTATTGTTTAGTATATATTGTAAAATTATTTTTTTTACCGTTTCCCCGAAAATAAGACAGTGTCTTATATTAATTTTTGCTCCCAAAGATGCGCTAGGTCTTATTTTCAGGGGATGTCTTATTTTTCCATGAAGAAGAATACGGTACACATTTATTGTTAAATGAAAATAAAGGAAATTTATTAGCTGTATATAGTACGGTAGTACGGTAGTTGTCAACACAAACCAGACATACTGTGAATCCTACAGTATCAAGAATTTACTCATTTATTCAATGACAATCATGTCATCATCTTCTGGAACATCATCATAACAACCCAATTCCTGAATTTCCTGGTGAATTTCTTGTGACTCCATTTCTTTCAGAATCAGTGGACCAAATCTCTCATGTGTAACCTAGGGGGGGGGGGCTTATTTTCGGGGGATGCCTTATATTTCACTCAGAAGGAAACCTATAAGTAGGTCTTATTTTCGGAGGATGTCTTATTTTCAGGGAAACACAGTAAAATATATATTTTATTCCTCTTTTTACAGAGATGAAGGGAGAAGGATAGAGAATTAGAAACATCGACGAGAAACATCGATCAGCTGCCTCCTGCACACCCCCTATTGGGGATGTGCCCGCAACCAATGTACATGCCCTTGATCGGAATTGAACCTGGGACCTTTCAGTCCACAGGCTGACACTCTATCCACTGAACCAAACAAACCGGTTAGGGCGGTAAAATTATTTTTAAGAAGCAATGGGAAACAAAGGATTCAGGATAGCAGTTACTTTCAAATGGGGTGAAAGAGAATGGGATTAGATCAAGGAGCACACAGGAAGTAATTTTGTTCTAGTTTTTGGGTGGTGGTCTTGAATATACATTTTCTTACTATATACATTTTTTAAGAGAGAGAGTAGGCTTTCCCAATCTGCCTCCAGAAGGCAAGACTGCACCCTCCTAATCAGGTGTCCTTATGGCTAAGAAAACAGAGCAAAGCGGAAAACACAGGCAGGTCCCTGGGAAGACCAGAAGCAGAGGGGCGGGCAGGAGGAAACTGGGAGATGGTGGACATGTTCATCACCTTGACTTCAGTGATGGTTTCTGGGATGCATACTAAATCAAAACTCATCACATTGGACACTTTAAATACAATTTATCGTACCAATTAAGCTTTTAAAATCAAAAGACGAGGAGAGGTTGTAGCCAAGCTCTTCTCCCATCCAGGGATGAGCGAGGTCTGTCATCCTTCCCGGGGAGGAGTGTGGGGATGGTGGAGCCTTCCCTCGCATTCGCCATGCTCCACAGACTGTCCTCACATCCTTAAAGGAGAAGGGGGTGCATTTTGTATCTTCCCAGCTAATAAAAGTAATAAATTTTCTCCAAAAAATGTTTGATGAATTGTTCTTACACTGTTCTGAGCCCTTTTTTTAAAGGTCAGATACTATTACTAGAGTGAGTTATCTGGAATCTATCTTCAACAGTTGAGCATGTTAAGATTAAATAAATGAATATTCCTTTTTAACTTAAACATTATTTTGATCTTGCAACCTGTATGACTTTAACGAATGCAAACCTATTTGAAGTGAAGTTCTCCTGACGTTGTGATGCTTGAACACTAGATGGAGTGGTGCGCCCCGTCCCCCCGAAGGAAGACATGCACCTGCACAAGAAGCTGTGTCTCGGGAACCACTGAGGAGTCCTGTCTGAACTGGAGTGAAGACTTCAAGGATTTTCATCGTACTTTAAAAACTCAGCCTTGTTCACTCAGACAGTAAGGATGGACTTTATAAATAGTTGAAAAAAATTTGAGAACACTAATTTATTACTAGCATATGAATGATGTTAATGATAGTGTTTTGAGATTTGTTTGTTTTCCAGAACACAGTACTGTGCTCTTTTGTTACACTAAATGGGGTACCGGTAATAGAGGTATAATGGGATTGATTTTCCCCCATTTGCTTTACCTTAGCCACTCTAAACAGGAGTGTGGTTCACTGGAGGTCACATCTCAGCAGAGAAATGCACACCTTTTAAGAAATATTAATTCCCTTGGATTATAACTGTGACAATCAATAAATTGCTCCAAGGATATAAATGACAACCTCGCCAGTTTATTTTAAATATGTTTTTATTTATGTCAGAGGGAGGAAGGAAGGGAGAGAGAGAGAAGAATAGAAACACCAATGATCGGCTGCCTCCTGCACACCCCCTACTCGGAATCAAGCCTGCAAACTGGGCATATACCCTGACCGAGAATCCAACTGGTTCATGGATGAACACTCAACCATTGAGCCAACCTGGTCATTAAAAACAATTTTTTAAAAATCCTCACCCAAGGATATGCTTTCCATTGAGAGTGGAAAGGAGGTGGGGAGGAGAAAGGGAGGAGAGAGAGAGAAAGATCGATGTGAGAGAGTCATTGATGTATCCAACCGAGTGTCAAACCTGTAACCTAGGTATGTGCCCTCGTGACCCTTGAACCTGCGACCCTTCTTTTTTTTTTTTTTAATTTTTTTAATACAATGTGTATTTTTTTAAAAAAATACTTCAAAGGAGTTTACTTATATACTCTCCAGTTATTTTTTGCACACAAACATGGATTATTTCTAGACTTCCTTACAGCACAGGAAATACCGGCACCCTCACATTCCAAATTAGCCCTCAAGGCAAGACCTGTCTCGGTCTTGGGCATACTACTGCTATGCTGTCAGGAAATTAAGCTATCTTCCCAAGGCTAACGAGAGAATAGTTGTCTCTTTGTTTGCTAACAGCTGGAAATATATTCTACATAGAATGTGGGGCATTTGCTTTTTGGAAGGATACAGTAGCATAGCTATTACATCTTTTCTTTCTTCCTCCTTTGCACAGTTCAGAACTCACCCATTTCTGCCTTCCTCTGAGGGATTTTTTTTCCCATTAGAATATAAGCTTCCAGAAGGTAGGGATTGTGCTTATCACATTTTAATATTTCTAGTGCCTAACACAGCCCCTAGTTTTTTGTATGTCCTCAGTGGATGTCTACTACAAATAGGAAGAAAGGAGGAGAAAGGGAGGGAAGGGAGAGAGGGAGGGAGGGAGGGAGGGAGGGAGGGAGGAAGGAAGGAAGGAAGGAAGGAAGGAAGGAAGGAAGGAAGGAAGGAAGGAAGGAAGGAAGGAAGGAAGGAAGGGAGGGAGGGAGGGAAGGAGAGAGAGAGAGACAGAGAGGGGGGGGGAGAGAGAGAGGAAGGAAGAAAGGAGAGATGGAGGAAGGAAGGAAAATGGAAGTAAAAAATGAAGAGGAGGAAGGGAGGAGAATATCAGTGTTAGATTTATATATCACTCAATTCAAATTTGTTCCAAGATCTGGAAAATTTATTCAACTAACAGTATGCCTAACGCACTCTCATTTATTGCCATATAACCCAGAGATTAGCAGTGCCGCTGGCATCCAGCAGCTCTTGCAGAACAAAGAGAAGCCCTGTACTGGTGTCGATGGTCCAAGAGATGCAGTTGAATGAAAACCTACTGCAAAAGAAAATAAGCAACTATGACAAGTCAATAGCTGCTCAACTTTTCGATTACACACATTCTAATTAATAATAGAAAAGAGAACCAAGACAAATTCTGCTTTAGAACAATAAAAAGGAAACAGAATTAGAATAAAACAACAGGTTTAAAAGTCCTCCAATCCAACCCATGACCTTTAAGCAAAGCCAAACATTATTTTTTATTTTCCTTTTCTACAGATTTTTGAAGGCAACTCTACTTCTTGAAAGACCCCCTCTTAATCCTGTCATGTATATTTATTGAAGAAATATACATTCTTCAATAAATATACATCCAGTCATGTATATTTATTGAAGACATTTTTGAAAAATATGAAAGTACATAAAGGAAAAAAGGAAAGCAAAATAAATGCCCATGGTGTTCCAGGAATTATTTAATCAATGAAATTTTTCATTTCTGAAAACCCCCATTTCTGCTACATATTATATATGAATCATTCTGCCTTTACATCCTGATTCAAGACCCAATGCTTTATTTGCCATTAATGAGAAGTGTATATTTTTGAAGTGTGTTTAAAAGTCTTATTTTAGGACATGGGCCAAAAGGCAAGGTTCTCCAACTCATTAACCTGCTCCATAAACTTTAAACCACTGTTTCCTACGGGAGAAAAACATACCTGGGAATAGAGTTACTATTTTAATTCTTTCCTACTATTTCAAGACCGGTCTATCCCCATTTCATCTGAGTGAAAATTACTTGAGAATGTTTCCTCCCTTGTGCAATAGGGACTTAACAGTTTAATTCTGGTCAAGAAATCCAATTGTTTCAGTCGCTCAAAGAACCAGAAGCTAAACACAAATTAAGAACCAAAGGAAATCTGTCATGATGGTGCCGGGCGCCCCATGGAGGGTGCTGCCAATCAGAGGGACCTCTGGACGGAGCACACCTTCTGACCTCTAACTCTGCAGGGATTTCTCGGGCCTCTGTCCGAAGAAGCGTGGTCCAGTGTTTGTCCACAGCTATCTCCCAACCGTTGCCTTTCCAAGGAGGTGAACCTGCGACCCTTCGATGCGAGGGTTGACACTCAATCCCTGGGCCATGCCAGCCAGGGCCCACCTGGCCATTTTAGAGAGTCTGTGCGAATCACCAAAAGTTGACATTTATACCCAAAGCTTTCTAACAACCAGAATTTATTTAAGATTGAGTCACATAAATGAAGTTAGTGGACCTTGTCTGCATTACTAAAAGTTTATTTTATAAAGGTTATTAATTTTTCTTAATTCTTTCATATGTAGAAATCACAGTGCTTTGTTGGACTACAGTGGTATATCACTGATTTAGGATAGCAATAGGAAAATATTATTTTGAGACTATTACTATTTGATAGCACTTACTCCTGAAATCACTAGCAATGAATCTTCAATTTGGCTATGATTTTAACAGAGAAGAAATAGTTTGGAACATTGAAACTAGCTTTTTAGAATTCTATTTATAATGATGACCATTTTCCCTCCACATAACTAACACCAGGTGTCTCATGGCTTTGAATTCAAGGCCTTTCAAAAACATTCGCAAACCTTAAGCATACTACAAGTCATGAAAGTACACTTATGGTCAATTCAGTTACATCACTCCAAACTGCTCTTCAGGAGTGAAACCTCTCTCTCTCTCTCTCTCTCTCTCTCTCTCTCTCTCTCTCTCTCTCTCTCTCTCTCTCTCCCTCTCTCTCCCTCTCTCTCTCTCCCTCCTTCTCTCTCTCTCTCTCCTTCTTTCTCTCTCTCTCTCTCTCTCTCTCTCTCTCTCTCTCTCTCTCTCTCTCTCTCTCTCTCTCTCTCACACACACACACACACACACACACACACATTTTCAGAAAATCACTCTAAAGGTGAAGGTTCCCGCTTTCTACTTTCCTACATCAGAGAGGGAGTTGCAGTGGCCGTGCCCTCAGGCCCGAGGCAGGCCGTCCTGAGGACCTGCTCCCCTGGCGATGGAGAGGTGACGGGGCTTGGCTCTGCTTGTCCCTTCCTGTCCGTGACAGCACGTGGCTGCACAAGGCCTTCTGCTGGTTCCTCAGATTGCACAGGACAATCCTAATCCTGACCAGATACCCTTGATTGTACCGAAGGCTGTTTAGTTCCACTGGGAGTTCAAAGTCATCATAGCAGGCAGTTGAGAACTATCCTAACATTTTTACACAAGGTGCCGGCATGGAATAGAGGGGAGGGAAGAGGTGCCCTTAGAGATAACCAGCGGTTAGGCTCTTCTTTAATAGTTACCAATATGCAGACAGGTTTGTTCACATCTCCAGTTGCTTTCATACGCTAATTTTACGTACTTTAAAGTTTTCTTGGATTTGTTGTTTTACTAATATGTCACTCCATCAAATGTTTTATAAATCAGTCAGTAAATATTTTGTAAGACCAAAAGCCTGGAATACTGCCAGGTTTATGGATTTATTGTTGGGTGTTGGAGTGGGATGGATATCAGAAGATACATACAGATGGGAGAAACATACAAATGGGGAAAACTATGATTCGGAAATGGAAATTTAATATTTCCATAGCACTATTAAAATGGTCATGATAATGCATCTTTTCTGTAGAACCGGTCAGATTTCAGAGTTTATTGAGACTTTACTATGTAGTACCAGAAGGGAAGCGGATGAGAGGGATATAGATATATAGTTATAGACAGAGGGGTTTTTTAACTGCTGAATCCAGTGTCTACAACAGTTCCTGGCACATAATGGGCATTCAGTATTTGTTGAGTAATCAAATGACTGCTGGACGCTGGCCAGACCCCTGTGATGTGTAAGAAATTCTCCCTGATCTCAAGAACTCACAGTCTAGTGAAAGACACAAATATGTTATCAAGTCGTAGAGAACAATTCTCAGAATGTGTCCCTGCCCCAGCAGGTTGGCATCCCATGGGGACTTGTCAGAAGTGCACCTTCTCAGGGCTCATCCAGACCTTGAATCAGACACACTCTGGGGGCGGGACCTCGCTGGGGGCGGGGCCAGGCCCTCCAGGTGGTAATGATGAGCTTCCGGGTTGGGAACCTCCCTGTGGGTGTATGTAAGGAGCAGGCCATGGGCCTCATCGAGCATGGCTAGCACACGTTTTTCCATTTTTAGTTTTGCTTTAAATGTAAGTGCACATGTTGACAGATTGGCTGATTTTACCATGGATGTTGTAGTAGTAGATTCAAGGATTTCCATTATTGTAAGTTTAGTTATATTAGTAAAGTTATACCTGCACATTTAAAATTATCAAATAGTTCATTAAAACTTACTTTGAAGCAGTCGTCTCCCCTTATCCCACATAGCACCCTCCCCGGAGGCACTCAGGCTTGACTATTCTAGCTGATTCTTTGTATTTATCTCCAAACCTCCAAATAGTTTTTCAGTTTTAGGCTTTTAAATTTTGAATTTTCATTGTGGAAGGCTTTCTTTCACTTCAGTCTCCTCTCCACACACTTCCATCTTCCGACTATTATTATACTTTTATTTTGGTTACATCGCTATTCATTATGACAATGTAAAGGCTATTCACAGTTTGTCATGTTGTGCACTATGATTATTTTTCCTTTCCTATTGAATATTTTCCTGAATTTAAAAATTGTATTTTTGGGTGGGGGTTGGGGTTCTTTAATTTTATTACTAACCCAAGGCCAAACTTTTCTCCCAATTGTGTAACCTTCTCTCAGTACATCCAATACATTAGGCATCCTTAAAAAACCCTTCTTCTGCCTTCTATCTAAAAGCCTCTGACTCGCCAAAGCCGGTTTGGCTCAGTGGTAGAGCGTCGGTCTGCGGACTGAAAGGTCCCAGGTTCGATTCCGGCCAAGGGCATGTACATTGGTTGTGGGCACATCCCCGATAGGGGGTGTGCAAGAGGCAGCTGGTCGATGTTTCTCTCTCATTGACATTTCTAGCTCTCTATCTCTCTCCCTTCCTCTCTGTAAAATATCAATAAATTTTAAAAATAATAATAAAAATAAATAAAAATAAAAGCCTCTGACTCCCTCCAGTCTGGCCTGACTGCTCACTACACGTGCCGCAAGGCTCTCCCGGGCTCTCCCTCCTGCGTCCTGGGGTCCCTGCCTCCTGGGACCCATCTTTTCTTTCTCAGTTTGGTGGGGCATCTCTTTCAGAAGATTCCTGAGAAAGGGCACATGTGGTGGGATGTCTTTCAGATAAATTATTGGGAATAGTTATGATATTGTGAGTATCTGTAGTTTTTATTTTATTCTCACATTTAATTGATAGTTTGATTGGCTATAGAATTATAGATTGAGAATAATTTTCCCTCCAAATTTTGAAGGCACTGTTTTATGATTGTTGTTACACTAGTAGAATTAGTTTCGAGGTTTGCTTGAAACCCCACACAGAGTGACTCAGCGCTAGATATTCTAGGGTAATGTGGCTCCCGCGCTGCAGAGCCTCCTGGGACTGCGCCTCCATGGGCGCAGCTTCCGACATGCTGCCGCTGAGCCCCCGTCCTCTCTGCCTGGAAGCTTATGTTTAAAATAAAGCAAAATTCCTCTGCTTTCATTGTAATGATTTTTGTGGGAAAACAGGTAAATTTATATGCTCATTCCTCCATTTTTGTAATTTCTGTAATGTTTTGACTTTAAGCATCAAATTCTTTTCCCGTGGTTATTTTAAGCATTTTAAATCACATATTTAGTACAAGTAGCCACCTCATAATGTCACTGTGTGTATTTTCCTTAGGAATAAGCCCCAAAAATGTGCCAGAGGAGTACGTGTTCCGCCAAGGGTGATTTTTAAGATTTGATGGAGACAAAGCTTGCTTTCTGGAAACAGCCTTTAGGGATAAAGAGTTAAATCTTGTTTGGCATCACTATAGCATTTAGATGTTTTTCCTCTTGTTGTTTCTGATTGTATATTTTAAAAGGCTTTACTTACCTGGCTCACTGTGTATTTTGGTTCTAGTGGTTAACGCTCATCTCTGCTTGCAGTGGTCCCCCAGGCGATTTAAGATCAAGTTTAATTTAGACTCAGTTTGTTAACCCTGAGTCTCACCCCGCACCTCCCAACTATTTACCTCGGGCATTGCCTACTGAACTCCCTGTGAAGCTTAATTACTTACTTTATGAACATCTTTGATAATAACTCAAAATATGAAAATGCCATTGGTTAGGGGCTGCTACCATCTTTAAAAAAAAAAAACCTTTTATGATACATTTGAGTGTAGTTTCAGTATGCAACAATCAAATTCATGAAGTTTCAGTTATCTGTAAAGATCGTGTACAGTGGAAAGCAGTGAAGAACTATCTGGTTTTACAAAGGTGCCATCCAGCCTCTCTTTCTTATGTGATGACAGAAAGCTCATTAGTAAAAGACTGGTGAGTTTACATAGCCACAGTGTGTAGTTGAGTTTTAATTTTATTTTACCGCTTAGTGTTACAGCCTTTGTTTCTGTAAGGATGACGGTAGCCCAGCAGGTAGCTGCTCCTGCCGTCCCTCCCGCCTCCCGAACCTTTTCCCTTTGGCCGTCTTTACTTATGGGTCAGTGAATGGCACCAAGACTCTTCTATATAAACCTGAACTTTATCCTCAGTGACACTAAGGTACATGCTTTCCTGAATGTTTATTTCTAACCCTAACATGTAGGGGAGAGAGAGCAGGGAGCCCAAGTGGGGACAAGCCTTGGTTCATCCCAGTGCTGATGCCCACACCCAACGCACAGACCCCAGGGCACAAGGTGGCATAGGAGCCTGTTTGCTGTCGAGCATGTGCAAACGGAACTGGCTCTTCCTGGTGAGCTGGAGTGGGGTAGGGGGAGGGATGAAAAGCTTGAAGCACTTTGTGCAGTCTGATGTGCACAATCCCAGCGTTCAAAAAGAGCACGAGTTAAGCAAAACACTTGAATGTACTGTGAGTGCATGATGCCATTGAATCTTAAGAAGTTTAAGCCAGTGAGTGGAGGGCTGCTATTGCAAACCATAACTTCTGACCAACTTCATTTCATCATATCAACTATGATGATAACCAGTGGCTGTTCTCTGGGTTCTTTATCTGAACACCCCTCAGCTCACTAACATATCTCCGAGTGCTCACTCTGTGCCGGGCACTCCGCAGAGAGGACACGGGGGCTGCCGGTGGGGCGAGGGGTTGGGGAACCTGGTAAAAGAGCTGAAGGGATTAAGAAGCACAGATTGGCCGAAACCGGTTTGGCTCAGTGGTAGAACGTCAGTAGAGCATCATGTACCTGGGTTGCGGGCTCCTCTCCGGTAGGGGTTGGGCAAGAAGCAGCTGGTTGATGTTCCTCTCATCAACGTTTCTAGCTCTCTATCTCTCCCTTCCTCTCTGTAAAACAATAAAATATATATACTTTTGGCATTGGGAATATAGCCAATATTGTGATAAGTATGTACGGTGCCAGTTGGGTACTGGAAATATTGAGGGGAACACTGTGTAAAGTATATGATTGACTAACCACTAAGCTGAATCCAACACACAATAAAATTGTAAAGAGAGAGAGAGAGAGAGAGAGAGAGAGAGAGGTAATAAATACTTTGTAAGATCATTAAAAGGACTGGAAATAATGTATGACATTCTTTGCACAATATAGGTGTTCAATAAAAGAAGCTATCTTTTATGTATTTCTCAGACAGTGAATCTGTAATGGCAACACTTTCATTTCTAATTATTCTGGAAGTGGAAACATCTCTAAATAGAATTCCATACACTTTTTATATATTTTATTTGATTTTTTACAGAGAGGAAGGGAGAGAGATAGAGAGCTAGAAACGTCGATGAGAGAGTAACATCGACCAGCTGCCTCTTGCACACCCCTTACTGGGGATGTGCCCGCAACCAAGGTACATTCCCCTGACCAGAATCGAACCCGGGACCTTTCAGTCCGCAGACCGACACTCTACCACTGAGCCAAACCAGTTTCGGCAGAATTCCATACACTTTTGTCTTGTTAAATAGGCTATGGTCTAGACACTTGTTTTTCCTTATGGACTCAGATTCAGCATTTCTGGCCGCTTCGACGCAATGACGATGCCTTGAGGCCCTAATGGAGTGCGTCTTCTGTGAAATGACCTGGAATCGCTCTGTTTGGAAGGGCCTTGTGCTTGCTTCCCCTCTACTTTTTATGTGACTCTTCAGTTTGTCAGCTCACTCTTTTTGTAGCTATGAAAGAAGTTCATGTATCCTATTCAAATTTGTCATGCTTTTACAATAATTTTTAGAATTGTGTTTAATTCTGAGATGATAGACTTAAAGCTCTCCTACAAACTAATAATTGTTTTAATATGTGTGTTATTTAATATAAATAACACACAGGCAGCTCGGAGAGCCCAGGAAAGATGCTGTGGGACAGCCCCGGGGCCAGGAGGGTGTCCCCACTCAGGGCTTGTCTTCATATATAAATAAATTTATGTAGCTAGTTAATCCTCACTGGAGGATGTGTTCCATTGATTTTTAGAGAGAATGGCAGAGAGAGCAGTAAGGAGAGAGAGAGAGAGAGAGAGAGAGAGAGAGAGAGAGAGAGAGAGAGAGAGAGAGGGAGAGGTGAGAGAAACACATCAATTAGTTTCCTTTCTTACTTATCCTGACCTGGGTCTGGGATGGAACCTGCAACTCAGGTATGTGCCCTTGACCAGGAATTGAACCCACGACCCTTCACTGCACAGGACAAAGCTTAACCAAGGAGCCACTTTGGGCTCATATAAATGAATTTAAACAAGTGACCCTGATTGTGTTGTGATAAAGCCAATTTACTAAAGCAAGCAAATTTATTAAAGAAGCAAGGCAAGAGAACCAAGATGGTACTGGAGGTAAGCGCTGTAACTTGCTGCTTCCACTAAAATACAGAACCACCATCATTCAGAACTGCTTGAAATCTGGCTGAATGGAAGTCCTACAAACTAGAGAAATAAACGAAGTACATGGAGACTGGCAAGAGGGGTGGGGTGCGGAAGGAGCTGGTCCAACATCCACATGTGTCACTTCTTTCACTCAGCAGCAGAGGCCTCCCATGAGAAGCAAGAGATCCAGCCCCACACAAGACCCCCAGAGCTGCGAAGAGAAGTCCCCTTAACTTTGGGCTATAAAAGCCAGCAGGGATTTAGGCTGAGTAACCCGGAGGCTGCTGGAGATACAGGAAGTTCCTCTTAAAGGGCCGGTGCATGAACTTACAAGGTCCTGCTTCCTCTGAGCTCCAGCACTGGGGCAATGGCTTGGGGGATCCAAGGACACACAGGGAGGAACTGGGCTGTTTGGCA